GCAATTGAACTTATCGAACGACATCGAACGACCACAAATTGACAATGAAAACAACCTGCTTATCGCAGAGACTGTATTTTACAACAACAAAAAAGCAGGTGATTGTTTTCTAAATTATAAGCCTTGTACGAGTTTATGAAAAACGTGTATACCACGGAGATGGCACCCTTTCTTATTTAATACGTAAAGTAAATGACAAAGAAAAGTTCAACTCCAATAAAATTAAAATTGTGCGTAACTCCAACAAATATCAAACAATTCGTTATGAAAATGAAAAATTAGAAAAATATGAACCCCCCCCCACCAATTCACCTAGTTAAATTGTAAAAAAATAAAAAAAATGGAGTCACGTTTGGAGTTCGTTGGTATCACGACTTTACAACGACACATTAGAATATTCAAAGTCTTACTTATACATATTCTTCACCATTAAATCACGTAAGAGTTATAATCACGATAGATATATATCTCTTTGTGAATCATCTTCTAAATGTAACTTGATCAACCTAAAGTCAATATGTATCACATATTTCAGATCCCCGGCGAAGTTTTCAGGGCTTTGGGTTTAAAGATGAAGATTCTTTTAACAGTCGTTTGTAGTTGCTTACTAATTTGGTCTGTAATGTTACTATCATTCTCAAACAACCAACTCCTTGATGGTAACTCAACCAACGGTAAAAAAACATCAATCTTTTGTGTTTGATTGCTAACTCAAATAAACTCCATTTGCTAACTTCATTTTCTCATAATAGATTCAAAGGAATCCGAAACAACAGGCGATAAACTGATAGGAGGGCTCTTAACCGCGGATTTCGATGAAGGTTCTTGCTTGAGTAGGTATAAAAAAACTTCCTTCTATCGCAAGGCTTCACCATATAAACCTTCTGAATATCTCGTCTCTAAGCTTAGAAACTATGAGATTCTTCACAAACGTTGCGGTCCAGGCACAGAAGCTTACAAGGAAGCAACAGAGCATTTTGTTCATGATGAATATTATGGAAGCAATGGTGAATGCAGATACATTGTGTGGATTGCAAGTGACGGGCTTGGGAACCGAATACTTACTCTTACTTCTGTGTTCCTCTACGCTCTCTTGACAGAGAGAATCATTCTTGTTGATCAAAGCAAGGATATTAGTGATCTCTTTTGCGAGCCATTTCCCGGTACTTCATGGTTCCTTCCTCTTGACTCTCCAATTGCGAAACAGATTTATGGATACAACAAGGAATACTCTCGTTGTTACGGAACAATGGTGAACAATCAAGCCATCAACTCAACTTCAATCCCGCCACATCTATATCTTCATATACTCCATGATTCAAGGGATGAAGATAAGATGTTCTTCTGCCGGAAGGATCAAAGTTTGATCGACAAAGTCCCTTGGTTGATTGTTAGATCCAATGCTTACTTTGTTCCAACTTTATGGTTAAATCCAACTTTTCAACCCGAACTAATCAAGATATTCCCACAGAAAGATACCGTCTTTCACCATTTGGCTCGGTATCTTTTACACCCGACAAATCAAGTTTGGGGTATGGTCACTAGGTACTACAATGCTCAGTTATCGAGAGCAGACGAGAGACTGGGGATTCAAGTACGAGTGTTTGGCAAGCCCGCTGGATATTTGCAACACGTCATGGACCAGGTCGTTGGCTGTACACAGAGAGAGAAACTGTTGCCTGAATTGGCTACACAAGAAGAATCAAAAGTCAATATATCAAAAAGCCCAAAACTTAAAGCTGTTCTTGTGACATCTTTATATCCAGAATACTCTGACAAGTTAAAGAACATGTTTTGGGAGCGACCGAGTTTGACAGGAGAGATTGTTGAAGTTTTTCAACCAAGTGGAGAAAGGATTCAACAAACAAACAAGAAGCTTCACGACCAAAAGGCGCTTGCGGAGATTTATCTTCTGAGCTTAACCGATAACATTGTCACAAGCGCAAGATCTACATTTGGATATGTTGCTTATAGTCTTGGAGGATTAAAGCCATGGTTACTTTACCAACCAACGGGTCTCGTAACTCCTGATCCCCAGTGTGTTCGATCCCCGTCGATGGAGCCTTGTTTCCATACTCCTCTGTCTCATGGATGTGAAGCTGACTGGGGAAAAGACTCCGGGAAGATTCTTCCTTTTCTTAGGCATTGTGATGATATGATTTATGGTGGACTTAAGCTATATGATGAGTTATAGATCTTGTTTGTCATAGATGATTCATTGGATTAATTAGTGAGTTGTTGAAACAGAGGAAACAGAGGAGTAATGTTGTCTCTCTTTTTATGTTTGTCTATAATAAGCATCATACTAGTGATGTTCAGTTTTTAATTATATACAAAAAAGAATCATGTTTGTATGCATAATGGAA